GGGGGGGGGGGGGGGGGGGGGGGGGGGGGGGGGGGGGGGGTAGGGATATATGCTTCTTTAATTCTGATGATCTTCTCTATTTTGCGCACATAATTGAACATAGTTCCTTTTTCTTTTTCTTTTTCTTTTTTTTTCATGGTTTATGCATGTCTATATATATAATAATTGATACTTGTGTTTTTGTTAATGACTAGTGGGATGAATGTGCAACATTAGTCTGGAAATATATAAAATAAGTGCGTATATAAAATTTAGAAGAATTCGTTCATATGTGAAATGTATTTATAAGTTGTTAAAATTGACAATTATTTCGAGTGATGACCATTTTATTTATTATTGATGTGCTTGTCTAGCTATTATAGAGATATCCTATGAGAGAAAATACAATTTTATTTTGGTTGTAAACCAAATTATGCGGATGTTTGCTCCCCATTCTTTTCCATCTAATTCTCATTTTGCACTCTCATTTTCAACTTTTGTGGGTCTCCATGTTTGAATTTAGTGGACATTTAATTCTTCATCAGTACTTACATGTGCACTGACAAGCCACAAATAAAATGTGATGAAAAATTACACGTCGATGATTTTTTAGTGCTTCTAGAGATAAATTCGGTACAAGGATATGAAAATTTCCCTGGTAAAAGTAATCCACAATGGAACTAAGTTCATATGGAAAGTACATATCATGACTCAAGTGTTTGAAAGTTCACATTTCTGCGTACCATATATTTAAACTTGATCAGCAATGCATATTAGCTAAACAGGTAGCCCTTAGCCTATCTTAAATGAAAACTAGAGAAGAAGAACTTGATTGCACAAGATTTTGGGGAAAAACTTGGAACTTCAAATCAAGAATTGGAAAGGAATGCAAATGAATCTTATTGTTACTACAAATACAACCCTGTAATTCCATAGAATAGTTGAGGATTGCCCTGTTACATTAACATTGATTTCATCTCTAATACAACTTCACACCCAGAAAATTGATACAAAGTTATGAAAATTTCCCTGGCAAAAGTAATCCACATTGGAACTAAGTTCATATGGAAAGTACATATCATGACTCAAGTGTTTGAAAGTTTATATTTTTGCATACGATATATTTAAACTTGATCTGCAACGCATATTAGCTAAACGGGTAGCCCTTAGCCTATCTTCAACACATCTTGTGTATCATATACTCCGGAATTAGTTATACTACAGCTGTACAAGTAAAATTATATGTCAACAATTTTGTACATGTACTAGGTTAAACTGAACACTTCCTAAACCACAATTAAGTTATTTAACCAAGACTTTAAGAGAGATTTTTAGCAGTTGGCTACCAACTCGGCCTCTTCTAAATCATAGTTTAGGTTAACTATCCTATGAGTATTGATTAAGACTTCAACATTAATTGGGAAAAGATCAGATCATTTTTTCTACTTTTTTCTCAGTTTTAGTGGCTGACATGAATCTCTTTTGACAAAAAGGAAAATTGATTGTATATTTGAAAAATTATATTACATTAGACATTTAACACATTGAAATACAAGCATGAAAATTTCTTCTGAAGTACTCTTCAATTTACCCAAATTCTGCAACGCCATCTTTCAAAGAGTCCAAAACAACTCAAGATTCCACAATCGAAAGACTTCAACACTACTGCAGGCCAAAAAGTCAATAAATATTAGAAAATAGAGTGAAAAAGCCCACTATTGAATCAACCAATTAACCGTACTTGAATCAGACATGATTAATGCAATAATGAATTTCGTGGTATAGTCTTCCAAATTTATACGCAGTCTCATTTTCCTCTCTGTGATGGGATGCAGAAGAGAATGAATAATACGTGCGTGTGATCTGGGGACCATAACCTATTCATATATAGCGACGCCCTTTGACCTAATTCGGCCCATCATAGAATTAGGACTTGGGTGTGGTCTCTACATAAATGTAAACTCACACTTTAATTGGGTATATTAAAGCTCAAAACTGAAGCCTTATTAGATCACTTTAATTGGGCTTAACTGAATTTGATAGTCTTTAATTTAACACACAATTATTCACATATATAAGCCCATCGATGGATTAAAAATCCTTACAATCTCCCACTTGAGCTATATGTCTCGCCTTATAATTGTGCATTAAACATTACCTTATGAGTACTCAGAATTTCGCTATTATTACCGAATGTATCTCCAAACAATCCCGTCCATCAATCATCTGAACATAGGATCAAGGCGGCTTTCGTTGTTTCATCGTAACTAAACTCAGCAATGGTCATGTATATCAATATAACTGAATGACATGGATCAAGTATGGATGTGTAGCATGGAAAGTACATGTGATGTGATCTGTAACATGCCTATTTCCAACTGGTCTACCTTAATAACTTAGTGGGATCATTTAAAACAAGTTCAGAGATAATAAACCAAAATTTTATAACTAAAAATAATTTTAATCATAAACCATATCCAAAATAACAGTACATGTGTCCAATATGAAAAGCAAAAATACAATCTCCCACTGAAACTAAACATCTTCAAGAGACATTACACCCATATGAGCAGTGTGCTTATGAAAGACCTTGGGTATCAATCCCTTAGTAAGCGGATCTGTAACCATGGAGTTTGTCCCAGTATACTCTATTGACACCTGTCCACTCTGAACTCTTTCTTTAACAGCTAGGAACTTGATCTCTATATGTTTTAATTTCGTCACCCTCATGTTGTTATTGGAATACAGTACTGCTGATTTATTGTCACAAAATATCTTGAGCGATCTTTCTATATTGTCCACAATACGCAACCCAGTGACAAAATTACGCATCCATATTCCATGATTCGATGCCTCATAACACGCTATAAATTTCGCTACTATGGTGGAAGTAGCAATGAGTGTCTGGATAGCGCTCTTCCAAGAAATAGCACCTCCAGCAAGTAAGTAGATATAGCTCGAAGTGGTTCTCCTACTATCTTGGCATCCCACGAAATCAAAATCAGAATAACTAACGATCTACAACTGATTCGTCTCCTATATGTTAGTATGTAGTCCTTTGTGCTCTGTAAATACCGCATGACCCCTTTAACTATTTTTCAATGATCCATTCTCGGATTATTTAAATATCTCCCTAGCATCCCAACAATGTACGCTATATCCGGCCTCATACAAACTTGAGAATACATCAGACTCTCTATAGCTGAGGAATAAGAAATCTTCTGCATTTCTTTAATTTTCAAGTCATTTTTAGGGTACTAACTTAAATTGAACTTGTCTCCTTTAGCCACAGGGGTGTCACCTGGTTTACAATCTTGCATGCCATATCTTTTAAGTACCTTTTCGATATAGCTCTTTTGTGATAATCCAAGAATACCCCAATAACAATCTCGGAGTATCTGAATTCCTAATACAAAAGAGGCGTTACAAAGATCTTTCATCTCAAAATTCTTTATTAGAAATCTCTTGATTTCGGGCAATAAGCTTATATCATTATTGACAAGCAATATGACATCGACATATAAAACCAGAAAAATATATTTGCTCACACTGAACTTGTGGCATATACAATTATCGACCAAATTCATGTCAAAACCAAATGAGATGATCACTTGATGAAACTTGTAATACCATTGACGAGACGCCTGTTTGAGTCCATAGATGGATTTCTTTAGTTTACAAATTATTTGCTTTGCATCATCCGGTACGAAGTTTTCTAGTTGTGCCATATAAATAGTTTTATCATTATCACCATTGAGAAACGCAGTTTTAAACATCCATCTAATGTAACTCAAGATCGAAATACGCTACCAATGTCATTATA